TAAACATAACTGCTTGAATAAATAAAATAACAATGTATCCTGAAAAGAGAGTAAAGACAAGGGCAGGTAGTATTGACTTAAGGACAGTTGTAAATGACAAAAGGAGGGATGTCTACCTTTGTAGGTGGTTGTGGCCTTGTGTAAACTAGATCAGAGCTGATAAACACATGCCACCATCAGATCTATGTTGAGCTGAAAATTTTTAAATTATGTGAATTAAACCAGATGAGTACCAGTATGTAGCAGGAAATACAAATACCAGTAACTGAAATGACCGGAAAAATTACATGGCTCATATGTTAAATTTTCCTTGAACTTACAAAAACATTGTCAAATTTTTTGAACATATCAGAAAAATATTTCATTCATCTGAAATCGTCCTTTGCCATAAAGCAGATATTCAAGCCAGTTTCTTGATTTATGTGAAGTTACTAAAAGGGCTATTGGGTATAACCCCAACACTGCAGGAATCCTTTCTTACAGTAACATCTTTTGTCCATCTTTCTATCAAGATGATCATTAGGAGAAAGAATGTTAAAAGCCAGGGATGGTCCTGGACATATAGCTCTTCCATGAACTATTTAAAGAGTTTAAACACCACCTAATGCATTTAAAAGTAGGTTATTTGAAGGAAGTAGTTTGCACTGGGTGAAATGCAGAATAATCCTTACAAAGAACGGCTTCTAGAACTGAGACACAAAATCGCCAAACTGTCTGGCATAGCACCACAGGGATCACGCTCTGACATTACCCTTCTGAGAACATCAGAGGATCATTACCTGCTCAGATGACTACGTGCGCTGAGTGCTGCAGCTAAACTAACTGTCCTGTGGTGTTATTTTCACCACTGTGGGTGTCAAAGAGGATGACTCCTGCCAGAGCACAGGAATGAATGATCACATTTGGGTTTGGAGGAATATCTTACTCTATACTCCCATAAAATATTAAGAATGGTCTGGCCCTAAATTTACTGAAAGCTGGATCTTAACTAGTTTAAATTGACATGCAATTTGAGTTAAATTTATTTTCTGCCCTTTCAAGGGAGACAGATTTTTTGTTTCTGTTTATTTAAACTGCTGTTGAAATTGGTTAATTAAAAGGATTTAAAAAATCTTAATACTCTAAACAGAGCAAACTGGTTCTGAATTATTAAGCAACATTTTAGATGCATTTAAATAACCTTAAGTGACTTAACTGCCACCTGATCCTAAGCTGTGGCTCAGAAAAATAAAATGTGAAATACTGTAGAAGTCTTGGCTTCCAGATACAGTAAATAAAGAGCTTAAGTCTGTAATACCCTGTCTGCAAAAGGCATACTCTCAAATACGAAACTAATGCTCCACCCTAAGCAGAAATGAGCAGAATAAATTGTAGATTGCAATTTCGATTTTTCAGAAGAAATTAAGAAATTCAGTCTTTCCAAAACAGTCTTTCAAAAGAGAGAGCATGCCAGGACCTCCCTTTCTGACAGATACCATGAAACGTTCACAAACATACCATTAACCCCAGTAGGGTGGCCGAAGTCCCCTTGGGGTAAGTTTGTTGGGCACATTCCTCCTGTAGTGTCAGCTAGACATGGTACACTTCAGCATCTTGCCTGAAGTGTGGTGAAATGCCCAGTCCATAAGATGTTAAAGAGTTTTAGGAAGACTTCTGCAGATCACCACCACAGAAGGAAGTGAGGAACTGATCCTCCGGGAGGTCTGCAGGGAGAAGGTGGATCTTGCAGCTGGCAGACCAAGAGGACTACTGAAATTAGTGCTTGGAAAGGCTTTTAAGAGAAAGGGACTTCAAAGAAATACTGAATGAGAAGGCTGACTGATCATGCTAATATGCTTAGGGAAAGCTCGTTTTGTTTTGTTATAGTTAAATGCATTTTGAAGATTAGAGCAATTCTTGGAAGAAAAGGAACTATAATTCTAAAATCAGCACATACATTTAAATAGCGCACACATTTGCTTCCATAAAGCCTTTGCAGGTGCATTTAAGAATAACGCAAAGAACTTATAATGCAGCTTTTCACTCCGAAATATGTGCTTGCCCAACATTTTCCAAGTTAGAGGTACAAGTTACCAGCAGACACAGGTTCCCCTGTGTGATACACACTTGTTGGTACGGTACACAGTGCTGCCTCGGTTAAGGTACTGGGAGAGGAGGTGGTTAATATCTCATTTCAGCGCTAGAAGAAAGAACAACACCGTCGGTGACAAAGACCCAATAACAAGTTACTGCATGTGCTTAACTGCTTTGGAATGTCACTGCTGCTTTAAAATCTACAAGTAGTGTCTGGAAAAGGTTAATCTGTGTATTTACTCATGTGTAGAAGTTTGTATTTACAGTAGGGTTATGATACCAACTTTAAGTTAGCTAAGGATATCTGTGTAAGCAACTGGAACATAGAACTAAGAACTAATGAATTTTTATTTACCAAAGTAGTAAAAATACTTAAACAACAGTGTATCAGGACTGATGGCTTTGAAAAGCAGGTAAAAATGGTCTAAAGTTTATTACAAGGAAATGATGATTTGGTTGATGATAATCCCCTTTTTTCAATTTCAATAAGACAGAAACACTTTCGGGGGTGACTATATTACTGTAATACAGATTAGGACAGAAGAAAAAAATACTAACTTGAGATGACATGTTTTCATCTTATTGCAGCAAAAACTCCAGCAAAGTAATTCTGGTACTTTCAAACATATTTTTTTTCCAAAAACGTTATGTATAGTTTAAATACCAACAGACATTTTAAATGCTATTGTTATCTGAAGCACAAGCATCCTAAGTGCTCTCTTCTCATTGTGCAGATCTCAGTGGATGTTTGTGATACATACCATATAGCAGAAGGGTCTCGACAACTTACAGTGTATTTTTAAGAGACTATAGACCACAAAGCCTGAGGCAACGAATATCCGCTTTTACTGTACTCCCAAGGCATTCATCAATGACTTTTTTTTTTTTTTTTTTAAAATCTGTCTATGGAGTTGCACATTTCCAACTTTCCTAACCTGGGGACCATGGCAGATGTCATTTATAGTTCTCAATGGTTAGCAAACCCCCGGGGATTATTTTTTGTCTGTTGTAGCTCTGGTGGTCACAATGGCAACCGGATTCATACACAGCCACTGAGTCAATCGGCATGAATCATTTATGTGACTCCTCATACATGGCATTATTAGGTTGGAATCACAGAAAAAAAGATGACAGGGTCTTTGCTTCCCATGCAACAGACCAACGGCTCTGTGTCCTGCCGTTAAATTCTCCTTTCTTTGCCTCAGCGTTTTCTCCCTGGCAGTTTCACAAACGTACTGAAAATACCAGCCTGTTCTAATTTAGTGGTCTCTTTTCTTCTTTTCTGCTTCTTTTTTGGTTTGTTCTTATGCGAGTCCTCTGATCAATTTTTGAGTTTGTTACAGAGGACTATAATTAATAATGATGATGATGTGAGAAACAGCCAGTCTGAAGTGCAAAACAAATGTAAAAAGTTAGAGTGATATACTCGTAGGTTTTTTTATATTAAATATGTACTAAGACATAAATGTGTTACAGGTAGGGAGGTATGACTTGCAGAATAAAATATATGAAAACATTGTTTAGACTGTAACAGACTGTTTTTCTTCTGTCAGTAATCCTGGAAACATAGATGACTTCTAGTCTCTGGTTCCACTGGAAATGATATTACATGCTTAAGGAGTGAAGTTAATTAGTGACTAATGAGATTCCTTAAATGCTGCTTTTCAGTCTGACAGATTAGGATTCACCATACAAGACAAGGTGGAAGAAAAGCTGTAAGCACTACAATCCTGTTCACCAAGTTACAGCAAAAATTGGTCAGAAATCACATCCACTCTCCAGGCTGCATGCTTGATAAGGACATTATTTTTTTCCTCTTTGGAGTACTTACAAATAAGATGACAAAGCAAGGGGTATCTGTTACAAAACAGTACTGTAAACTCACTGATCAGAGCCTTATTCCTAATAAACCTCCTCCAGGGGCAGTGATGGGAAACAAAACGGAAAAGCAACCCAAGTTACTGAGCAACTTTGATGAAAAATGGCTTAACCGGTCACCTGGAGATGCCCCCAGCAAACAAAACCCACTGCTGCCCCTACTCGTGTGCAGTACTGAGGCAGCATGGCAAAAAAGCTGCCGAGCTTCACCCATCACTGCTCGGCTCTGCACTGTCATCTCTGTAGCGCCCATTACCTTCACCTTTTATGCACGGCCCCAGGTAATTGCTGCACAGTTGGACCCACTGACTTTTACCTTTGCTGTAACAACGGCTAGATAAGAAATTAAAGTTAAGTTGTAATACAGCAGAAAACATATAGGTATATTTTCAAAGAAACTTAGTAGCCAGCACGTAAATATCTGTTGAAAAATCAACAGAATTTAAGTGGCTTTTGTCAGCAGTAAGCAGTATTGATTTTGAAAATCAGTCACAGCAGGTACATCATTAGAATTTCAAGGTAGGAGATATAAATGATAATTTACTGGTATTATGTAACAGGTGGATGAATAATTTATTAGAATGTACTGATTAGCTCATAACTGTACACTATCTGACACTGAGCCTTCCTTGCTCATAACATAAAATTACATCAAAATGGCAAAACCAGAAAGATCAGAAGTACCAGCCCATAACAGACCTAAACAGTGTACTAATATCAACGTGGCTTCCTTCGAAACAGGACATGAGCGATGCTGGCTCAGCACATTCCAGCAGTTTTCACTGAATACAGTCCACAATTTGTCTGTTTCAGAAATGCAAGATTTTTTTTTTACAATGTCACTGGAAACAGATTTCGCAACACAGTTTTGTACGGAAGGTACGATAGCATCGGTAGGTTAGCACCTGGCTTGCTTACAGCCAGAGAGCTTGGCAGCACTCTGACCTGTTCAGGCGTATCTTTGACCTTCTACGCTGTAACATACTGATCATGTAAAACACGGGAGTAAGAAGTAGTGATAGTTATTCCTGAAAGGCACGTTTACTCACATCTCTCCTCGGAAAGGTGCCCAGCAGCTTGTACTCCTCCCAAGGATATCCCTTGGAAGCTACAAAATCAAAGACAACCTGCAGCTTGCTGCTGGCCAGGAAACGTCGCTCAAAGAATTCTCCGCTGGGCGTCCGAATACGCAGTTTACTGACAGACTCGGTGCTCTCCTCTTTCGGTTCGGGAGGCAAAGACTGCTCAAGAGAGAGCCTGATAGCCTGAGGAAGGAAAAATAACCATTTAGGTTGCAATGCTCGCAACAGAAGCAAAGGACAGCAAGCTTTTCTTTTTATTTCTTCTAGAACTTCGAGACGTGCACAGTGCTCCAGAGCCATAGCTGTGCTTTTTATCTCAATGACAAAATAATTTTTATTCATTCCTTAATAACAGCCCACCAGACAACTAATTAAAATAAATCCTTCTTTCTAACACATATTATTAGGTCTACAGTTAATGCACGATGGGAATAAGTAATTTAATCATTTGGCAGGAAGCCTTGGAAAAAAATTGAATGAGAGAATAATTGTCAAGTGGCCAATTGCTTCCTTAAAGGGTATAAATTAAAAGGCAGTAGAAGTATTTCTTTAAATGCATTTATCAAATTGCCTTCCTCTTGCACAGAGTAATTGACCATTTGCAGCAAAGACAAGACTCTTAGTGGCAGTTCAGAGTAAAAAGAAATATATGCAGGAGATTTACTATAAATAAACTAAAACGCTGTTAAAAGACATAATTAAAAATATCATGAAAGTACATTAGATACATAGAGTGCACATAAAAGTAGGAATAGTCAGAGAAGAAAACTGGGGAGACAGAAATGGGAGCTTTAAGATTTAAAGCAAGCAATTATTGTTATTATTTGCAAGAAGATGGTTCCAAGCACAGGTGTGTGCATTTTCTGCAACAACTTGCATGAGATCAGCTCCAAAACTGCGCTGACATTACATGTCTGAAAATGTGTATGATCGCCCTCCTGCTAACGTTGTGTACGCTGCTGATGTCAAGGTTTTAAGGGCAGGAGCCCCGTCTGTGTTCTCTGTTCTCAGCCTCTGGGAGCTACTACAACACCAATACCTTGACCAGAAGTTCTTTTTTAAAAATTGATGCCTGATATCAGACTGCTGAAGGAGGTGGGCTTGCTTTTCGAGGGTACTGAGTGCTGTCGGTACTCATGGACAGGCACTGGCATCTGTTAAAAATTAGCCCACGCTTAGAAAGCAGCCTTGTTATAGGGTCACCTCACTTAAGGCAGCAGTTAATGAGAATGTCAATGAATGGAAGAAGCAGCTTTATCACACTGCCTCTCCCAAAATACGCCTAAAAGACAATTTTCCAAACTGAAGAGGCACTTGGGCAGGGATTTAAGCAGATTTTCAAGGAACGTTCAAGATACACAGTTGCTATTTGCGCCTTTGAAAACCTCCCCAAGGTCATTTAGTAACAGAAACTGATGGAGGACGATTACATTAAAGAGAAAGGACTGGGCAGAAGCAAGATTACGAAGGCTTTTAAATAGTCTACTTCTTACACACGAACCTCTGAGCAAATTATATCTCAGTATAAATATTTATACATAGAACTTGAGTTCATTTTCGCTCATCTACTATGAGATTATATTTTAAATAGATTCTATTTTAATTTTCTCTCTCTCCATTCTCAACCACCTGCTTACTATCTTTCTGTTTTGACATTTCCCCACACAGTATAACAACAGATGCTACATTATTTACTGAACCCAATCAATTATATTATAGAAAAATAAACAACAGTAGCTCATTAGAGCTCTTTTCTTTGTGCAAAGAGTGCGTCGCTCCCCAAAGTAACTAGTCTCCAAGGCTTCAACATAAAATGGCAATTTACAATGGATATTCTGTACCAGCAAACCAAGTCAGAAAACAACGATGTGATGGATCACATTAATAACTCTTGGACATGAACAAGCAATTTCAGTTTGTTGATAAAAAGATGTTCAGTATGTGAATAGCTCAATAGTCAGATTTCAAATATACGAGCTGAACATAAAGCCCCCTCTGTAAGCAAACACTGTTGCAGAACAATTCAGTATAAGTAATCCGTATACTTGAAAATGGGGAGTGTTAGTAAACATTATTGTTAAAATCCCTTTTGTTCTACTAAGCAAACAGATCCTATTATTTTCATTACTGCACTCTACATTAAAACAGGGAAGCCCAGGTAGATTTTGATAACATGGACCAATCTTGTAGCCTTCGCATAAGATGACAATTTCCAAAAGGCCCAGGTATCAGACAAGGTTCAGGAGCAGATACAATAAAGCAGAATGACTTATTCTTTCTATGCATGCAAAATTACTTTAAAAAAGAAAAAAAATACTTCTTGCTTGAATCTGAGTCTGAGCTGATTGTTCAAGGGTCTTGCTACAGTACTGATTTAGTTCAGTTACTGTTAACCTCACAGAATTGCCATCTTACAGTTATTCTGGACACAATTCTCACAGTCCAGTTTTGTGCGTTGCTCCTTCAGTTGTGCTTTAGCTGCCGTTCTTGGCTCATGTTAACAACAGGAGCTAAATAAGTCATCAAATACTGTAGGGTAAGACAGAAGAAGTGGACTGCATCTTTCCCAAACCACTGAATACTACTGCTTGGACTGAATTTATTATTTACAACGCAGTACTGTTTAAAAGGTTCTTGAATGCTTAAAATGGTTCAGGTTTTTTAATGCAATTATCTTGGTCAAAATATATATATGCAAATGCATTGCTCATACAGTTTGTTTATTTGGTTTATCTCAGGGAATAATAAATGTGTTCATACCCAACTTTTTTTGCAGTTGTATAATGCATTTTTTTCATACATCAGCAAAGTACACAAGACTGAAATGTCAAGTATACATTTAAGTCACATGTAGGGGGGGAATAAGCAAGACTGTGATTTATCAGGATTCCATGAGTTCCAAGGACTTTAAGTAAGTGGAGAATCAAATAAGAATATAATTCCAAATTTCAGATCTCCATAATCCATGAGAGTCAAAGCAAAGAAGTTACATTAAATCCCCCCAAAACATTGGAACTCTGATTTTTTTATATAAATGAATAAATATTTGTAATACTTATACTGTATTTATATTTTACATAATACTGGAAGCATACTCAGGAAATAGATATTTAATAGAGATGCTGATATAGCTTTGTATTCATTAGCAACTTTCTCACAGAATCTTACATGCCTCGAAGTCAGAGGACAACCCCCAATCAACTCTGATTTCAGTCAAGACATTTATACGTGAATATCACTTTTATTCTGAACATTTTATTCAAGTGTTTCAAAATCCTTTTCAAGTATCAGCTGTGTTTCACAGCAGTTCTGCAAGGACTTATATTTCAAGAACTTCACAGAACAGATGGAAATATTTTAATGACTAGTCTATTTTACCTGTCCTTTGAAATGTGGTGGGACTTCAGGGGAAGAAACATGTCTTTTTACAATATTTTGTATTTGCCAGGAGGTGAAAAAGAGAGGAAGTCACTAATATAAGTAAATTTGTGTACATGATGCTTTACGTAAATAACTACATAGACACACAGCTAGGACAGGAGCTAGCCTAGATCCTGAAAGAGGCTGCAAAGACCCGTCTCTGACAGGTACTGGGGCCCTCACAATCTACAAAATTGAGATAATCTACAAAATAACGGAGTTTGGGGAACAGTACTCCTCACAGCACATGGTTTCTATTTTCTTATAGAGGTCCAGACATAAAGCGTTCATTTAAACACAATTTTCTTTTTAAGGAAGGTCCTGTAGAAGACTGTTTAGAAATTTAAAAATGTACCATTAATCCATTTTTCTAGATTTTGGATTTTTTTTTCTTCACTTTTTTTTTTTTAAAAAGTGTTTTGTCTCTCAAATTAAAATTGGCAATTTGTTTGATCCGTATCACAGCTAGGCTTTGTGCTACTTCCCAGAAGAAACAAAAAGGCTCCACAGTATTATATTTTTAAAAGGAGTGCCTGCAGAAACAAGGTTAGAGGTTCCCAAAGATTCCACCATTTATGGAGCTCATTTCATGGATCTCTTGTTAGCAGGCCTATCTAATATCTGGCTGTAATTCACACCCAGATGATGTTATTGTGACCCAGATGATAGAACAGAAAAGCTATTAAACAGTGGATGAAAATGATTTAGCTGCACTATATTTTATATATGTGGTAAAAAATTAATTTAAAAAGATTATGTTCATATAAAAAGTATACTTTGACTGAAAGTTGCAATGTGTGTCGAATGAAAGTTGCAATGTCCATAAGCTTCATGAATCCAAAAAGTTTTTGGAAAAGGTAAAATATCCCACCTCACGTTCTTCCTCCTGTTCTTTCCGAATCTGTTCCAAGCGAAACTGCTCTGCCATTTCTCTTTCTTGTGCTTCCCTCTAATAAACACAAACAGCAATCACACATGTATCGACTCACTTTCCACAGCTGTGTTTAATGACGTGCATTAGCTATATAAAAGCAACGAAACTTATCGACTTTTCTGTAGAAATTAATATAAGAAATAGGACATTTATTAAGTGATCTTTTCCTGTCATTCCTTTCCCAACTTCTATTATTAAGTGGGGCCAGGACTGCTTTAGCAAAAAGATGTAGTCAAGTCTACTCCTAGTGACAGTAGCTAGTGCCATTTTATAACCGCTGAGGGCAATTATGGCTCCTACAGCAACCATCTCATCTTAAAAGCAGAGCTGAAGCCGGGCAAGTCCTCTGCACCAGAGAGATTTCACCAACTGTGGAGAGGTTCCCATCCCAACATTCGTGCTGTCACTTCACCCTGCACACACCTTTGCTCTGTCAGCCTCCAGTGATATGCGGTACGCTTCATCCTGCTCTCTTTTCACATTTTCTCTGGCTTCACGTTCATCCTAAAGAAGAAAAGAAAAGAAAACGAAAAATATCAGCAAACTGGACCAATATGATATATGTCTTTATGTTCACCAGCACTCTAACTCCAGTGACTTCAAAATATTTGAGTGCCTTATTCATCTAACTACTGCTAGAAGAAATGAGTTCAGAAATGCCTCAAGGGCAACCTTGGCTTTAAAAATTATGACTTACTTAAAGCTATTTTCCAATTGCCTTGTTATGGACTGGTGTGTCCAAGCTCTGGGCTGAGGGCTGGATCTGGCACCAAGGCTCTTTGCCCTGCCATCTTTATCATGGCCATGGCCGGCACGGACACCAGGAACAGTGCAGCCTCCTCCCGCACCGGAGGGGATGGTGGGAGGAGTGTGTGTGGGCTGGTGCTGGGGAGGGTCTCGCAGGGATCTCACTCCTGCAGCCAACAATTTGGACGGTCTTGTAATAGGGGAGGACAGGCCGAGGTTCAAAGGATGAGGCTGGATCTTAATTCACTCTCCACTCAGTCTGACAGCAGGTTAGCTGTCCTAGAAGATAAGGCCTGCTTCCAAGTCCTTCCTTGATAAAAAAAGCCCTCAGCAGGATCCATCCAGGGTCACGACTATTAAACATCACCCAGAGACCTCAATTCATGTTGTGTTGAGTATTATACAAAGATGGGAAAGGAGCAAGTCCCACTCTGAAGTGTCTCAAATGTACAGATGCAGGCAGACAAGAAACATGGGGTTAGCATGCCAACTTCACGCCAGCAAACCTAGCAAAGTATGTTATTAATGATCACAGCATAAAAAAAATAAGGTTTTACTAAAAATATTCGAATGACAGAGCGAGACATCATCCATATGGTGGAGGATCAAGACGTGGATATCCTTGAAAGCTGGAATAACTGCACCGGGGTGATGTCTGATAAAGCAAAGTGTACAATCAATAGCTTCATACTCTGCCTCTGGAGCCAGAGAGCAGCTGCTCCCCTGTGCTTACTCCTCTTACATCTGATAATCCTCCCAGAGCCGTGCAGAGGCTGCACTGGTCCCTACAAAAATCAATACGATTTAGCTGTGAGAGTGCTGGTGGGCTCAGCACGGTCACCTGTAGTTACCAGTAATACAGCACTTGCACTGGGGTGATCTGTCCCCTATTTTCATAGAAATTAAATTTCATAGAAATTAAAGTCTACTACCTACTGCTTTTTGAAGAATTATGTTTTTTTTTCATTCATCAGCAAGGTTTATTCTACATAATGGCATTATTTTTGCAAAGTCATCAATTTTCTCCCCTTCACTACTTGGCAAAAATGGGAGTAGCATACGTTAGCTGTTACTATCATGTCATGCAAACATGCCAAGATGTTCCTCAAACAAAACTCTAACGCATTAGTGGTTAAAAAGCTCTAAAGTAGCATGAGACCACAAGAGGAAAGGACAAATTGCCGGAAAAAGGTATACAACCTCCAGCTGGAAAGTAACAACATCTTTTTAGAGGAAACTCTTCTTCCTTACAGAAACAGGACCCAAGATTATTCTACAATCAGTGTGCCCTAAATTTCATTCACAGAAGACAGAGAAACCATCACTTTGTTCAGCAGAGCTAAGACATGAGTAGAAGTAATTATCGCAAAATGTAAAAAGGACAAAAACCACGAAATGAAGCCATTCCCCTCCTGGCTTCTCTGGACCTTGACAAGCTTTTATGTGCTATGTTCATGGAATACCTTCAAAAGTTAACTCAAACCTGATAGCAGAAACTATCCTACATTAATATTCCATTTCTGAGAAGAGGGGATGTTGAAATAATTAAACAGTTCTGATTTTTATGTTATCCAAAAATGAGGAAAGCTTCTTGGATACACAGAGGTTTTTCCAACTCCTCTTATAGATGGAATGTAACAGTAAAGGAAAAAGGTTTGTACTATCTATCCTGAGACCTTCCACAAGCATACTGTAAATTTAAATCTTAAAATGGTGACAACCATAACTATCTTCCCAAACCAACCCACTAAGAGAAGATGACATCAGGCAATCTGCGAGAGAACAAGCATTTAAAAAAGTATTAAGAAATGTTTCAGAGAGAACCTATTTAACTTTCCTGTTTCGCAGCTTCATATATCACACACTAACTCAATTTCAGAGGTCACACAAGTCCAGTAATGCTCAAGAGAAAACTGAAAGATCAGATGCAACTCTTGCAATTACAGGCTCTTTCCTTCATCAAAGATAGCTAGCAATTAACATATAGTTACCTTAGTTTACAAAAAAAAAAAAAAGAAAACAAACCCAAACCAGACCTCAAGAAGTAAAAATTTTAAGATTCATAAAAATTGTTAAAAACTCACTCCAAAAATATATGCTAACCAGAGTTATAAGAAATTGAATACTGGCTTTTATTTTAAATTTTCCAAACTGTCTAGAAAACTCAAGGAAGCTATTAGAAGTTACTTGTGTTGAGCACAGGATTCATTTACCTACAGAGAGCTTTACCGAAGAATTTTTGAAATTGGTTTAATTTATATAATCTGGATGACAACTACAAAAAATACTGACACTATAGATTCTACAACAAGAATCTAAACGTGAATTCCAGGCATCTAAAAAAAAAATAAAATCTTTCCTCCCTATTCATCACAGTTATCATCATCCTAAAAGTGGATTATGAAAAAGATGTCAGGAATGTGAAGAATTACTACGCATGACTGCCTGGTCCTCACAGAAATATGTGAGCCACATCTAAAAGTAAATGACCACGCCACCGAGCTTTACACCATGCTGAAACAATACTGTTCTTACTGAAACAGACCTTAAAACCAAATCTGGAATCCAGATTTTTGTAGGTAAGAAGCAGACGTAATCCTATGAAATGTCTCTTTGTGCCTACTTCTGTGTTTTGTTAACACTGTTCACACTCTACAGGAACCACCTCCTCTACAGAGATTACAGCAAAATTGTAATATTCTCTGGTTCAGAGTTACACCTTAGACAAATTTTAAACATTACATACTGCAGATCTTCTTGTAATGCTGTCTGTTATTTTAGTCATCTCTTCCTCCAGAGAAACCATACAAAGTATGAGGATGACTCAAGTTTACCAAAAGCAACAAAAGAAAATTCATGATGGTGACATAAAAAGCAGAAAATACTTTGCAGAGAATCTTTCATTGCACTACAAAGAACACATGAAGAAAAAAGTAACAGTTACACAACCAATAATTAATTTTTAAAAATGTCATAAGTATTATCCATTAACAAAATGTGAGGTAGCTGACAATTTTCCTGTTAAACCCCACATCAATTGTGGGGTTTAAGCAGCATTGACTGAACATCAATAAATGCATCTCCACAATACTTTTGCAATGAAGGCAAAATTGCCGTCTTCCTTTTTCAAGAAACCAAGATGTGAACAGAAAGTGTCTTATCCCAGGTCAGTTAAAAAGCCTTCATCAGAAACGGGGGTTACACTCAGCGTTTCAACAGCAGCGACCCAAGGCTGGTGGGAATGCGAACCATCCATGTCCCAGGGGAACTTTCATGCTCCTTAAAGGGAAGAAGTCACAGATCTCCGCTTTCTCATTTTTACAATGCAACAATTCATTCAATGGGAAGTTGATATTTAAAAAAAAAAATAAATAATATCGCATTAACCCACAGAATATATTCTTCAGCTATGAATTTTCTTTGCTATCACGCATATTACAAAGTCATAACAAAAACAGTAAACACTTCTATTCATGGGACAGTTACAATGGACCAGATAAAACCTCCAGAGCTACAAAACTAAGAAAAACTTACAGATAAGGTTGTGAAAAGGAAATTTAGGAAAACTCTCTCCAATAATTATTCCCTAAACTATTTCTTGAAGTTACCCCTGAAGCACCTAATAGCAGGCATTTTCAGATGCAGGATAATGAAAACAAAGGATTCCCGGTTGCATTTAGAACAGCAATGCCCCCTTTTCCTGCAGATTACACAGGGAAAAAGTACACAATACATTTGGCTTTTCGGATGGGTTACTTTGCTGGAAAAGTCAGCATCAGCCCTTCTGGGCTTCTTTAATTTTATTTTTATTTATTATTGCTGTTTCTGAAGGGAGGATTTGATGGTTTAACCCCAGGAATCAACTTTGCACCCGATGCGTCCCAAAGAGATGTGCCATATTTTATTCCCCACTGGCCTTTGGGATCACTTTTACTGTGGAGTAAAACCAGATGAGAGAGAACTTGAGAAGGTAACCATGAGCAGAAGACATTTCTCAGAGCATCAGTGAGTAAACGGCTGTTACACGAAAGAAAGAAAAAAAAAGTGTATTTACAAATGCTGAATGCTTATCTGAAAGACAGTTCATTTCACTGAACCACTCCTGAAATTAAAATCTGCAAGTGCTTAAGGCTATTCATGGGAGCGTTAAAGAGAAACACCCCTTTGTCCAAACAAACCAGTGCAAGAAAGGCATTAATTTGACTCACTAAGATGACAGACTTGCACATTGTATAACTTAAACATACACGATGGGGAATATGTAGAAGAAAAAAAGTGTACACAGAATGAGTTGGGCATAGGAAAATGATGAAGATAAAGCAAACGAAAGTTTCTGCGGTGGCAGAACCAGATGTGGGGAGACAGGACAGGGCAGAACAATGCAGAACCACCGGAGGGTCCTGCCTGTCCTTACTGAAGGCTGAAAGCCCAGTTCCAGATATTGATTTTCGGGAATTCCCTCAAGTGCCAAGAACACCACAAACCCAAACCTTTCAAGAAGCAGTCTTGCAGTGACTTTCCATGGGAAATCACCCAGCCAGTCCTGCTACAACATCTACCCACCCAGACTGTGTAGCAGGGAAAGCTGCCGTTTATTAAGAGAAACTAAGTGAATATTCAGTGACTGGAGCCACCAACATGTATAGCCAAAAAGCGACATGAACTGAAGATATTTTCATTTTTATCTTTGTTCTTTCCTCTGTCATTACCTCGCATTTTGTCAAAGTTCAAAATACGCCATAAACTCTTGAAGGCTC